TGGCTACAGAAAGGCCCAGAGGACCGGGTGGCATAGAGGTTATCCCAGTTCTGCAGGGAATGGGGTTCAGGACCCAGAACCCCAAGAAAAGTCTGTGAGTGCTCAATGCCACAGGAGCATCTGGCTGTGGACCCCAACTCAGCGGAGTGGGGTGCGGTACTCTGACACTCGGACAAGGGGTTCAGAACTCCACACACACACACTAGTGGGTTTCAGGACCCCAGGTACTCCATGGAGTACAGGACCCCACAGTCTGACTAACGGGGTCCAGGCCAAGGCACGTCTGGGTGGGGAGGCCCCTCTGCAGACACCTGGGTGGCGGGCGGGCAGGCGCCCAGCACGAGGAGAACAGCACACAGAGCCGGAGACAGGGATGAATGGACCCACACAGGCAGAGAGGGGTGGAGGGGGGCGTCCAGACCGCAGCTGAGGCCACCGGCGGGCCTGGCACGGGGCGAGCGGACGTGTCGGCTGGGCCTCTGGCAGTTTGGGGCCAGCACGTGGGCCAGGCTGTCCGGGCCCCGGTGCCCACCCCGGGGGTTCACAGGAGTGGGGGAGCCGCTCTGACACGGATGCCCTGGATGAGTTGGACCCACCCAGAGCTACAGAGGGGCTCATAGGGTGAGCCCCAGTGACAGGGAGGGAGGGGTGCAGGCCCTGGGAGGGACCCCAGTCCCCAGGCCACTGAGAACCTCACGTCTTTGGCACGGGGGTTGGAGCTCCAGCATTTGGGAGGTGTTACATACTGCAGTGCAATCAGAGATGGGGTATGTCCCCTCCATTTCCAGGTGAATTGGTTATAATTCACCCTGAAACTCCAAAGAACGAGACTCATTCCCCAGAAACCCAGACTCACTGACAAAAGAGCACAGACTGGAAAGATAGTGGGGTGCAGGCCCTTAGAGGCTCAGAGAGTGGGGTACAGACTCCCAGAGGTTCAGATGGTGGGATGTAGGTTCCCCAGAGGCTCAGAGAGTGGGGTACAGACTCCCAGAGGTTCAGATGGTGGGATGTAGGTTCCCCAGAGGCTCAGAGAGTGGGGTACAGACTCCCAGAGGTTCAGATGGTGAGATGTAGGTTCCCTAGAGGCTCAGATGGTGGGATGTAGGTTCCCTAGAGGCTCAGATAGTGGGGTACAGACTCCCAGATGCTCAGATAGTGGGGTATAGGCCCCCCAGAGGCTCAGATAGGGGGTGCAGGCTCCCAGATGAAGAGGCTCAGACATTGAGGGAGACACAGGCTGGTCCTGGCAGAAGGCACAGGGCTCCTCCGCCCCAGGACGTAGCGAGCGGAGCCCGGTCCCTGCCGTCCTGGGTGCCGGTGGCCGGGCCCCTGCACGTCTCACGGTTCCTGCCAGCAGCTCCCCCTCCCCGAGCCAGCATCTGCCCTGAATTCCAACCTCAAACATCCCAGACCACCCCGGAGGCAGCCGGTCCAGAGCCCCCCTCCAGGTCCCCGCGAGGCGCTGCCAAGCCGCCAGCCCGGGGCACTGGCCCGGGGCTGCCGGCTCTGTTTGGTTTTCCCTTCCTGCCCCGGAGCCTCAGCCGCAGTCGCGCCACAGGGCGCCCCTTCCTGGGGAGGGGACCGCGCAGCGGCTGGCTCACGCGGGGCACACGTATGCGGCCGCATTCGAGGGCCTGCGTCCGGGGACTGGCACGGCGCCCGCCCACACGCCTCCCCCCGGAGCGGGGTGCCGGCTCCCGGCATGCCCCACTGCCCCACAGGCCTCCTGAGGGCCCGGAGCCCAGCCAACGCCCGGCCCCTCTGCCGTCAGGCGCCTCGTCCAAACCGCACCGCTGGGCGGGACTTGGAGGGCGGCCGGCCGCCCGGGGACGCCCACGCGCCACGTGCCGCGTGCCCCGAGCCGCCGTGACTGGCATGGCACCGGCACGCAATGCCACCTGCGGTGCCACAGAGCAGCCTCAGAGCCTGCCCAGCCCTGCCGGCGGCCTGCCGTGCCCGGGCCCTGGGGCACATTCGCGAGCCCTCATCTGGCCACTGGCCCCAAGTGGCTTCTGGGAGACGACCGGCCGGGAGGGTGCCCGGTGCTGGCCCTGGGGAGGGCCGCACCCAGAATCGCTGGACCAGGGAACTGGCCAGAGCCCGAGGCGGAACTGGGCCCAGGGACGTGCTGCTGGGAGCGGGGACGCCCCATGGGCTCAGGAGAACCCGGGGAACCTGGCAGCCCAGCCAGGGCGGAGGCCTCCAGAGTCTTCTCTGCTCCAGGAACCTGGGCACCCAGAGGCCCTGGGCACAGGGGAGGGTGCCGCCCTCAGCCCTGCCCGCTCACCGGGCGGCCTCCGCAAGCAGTGCCGTAGCTCACCTGCTGGCACCAGGTTCTGTGCCCGGTTCTAGTGGCACCAGAACGCCACTGTCCTTCCAACACGGGCGTCCTCATGACCAGGGACCCCTCACCACCCCTCTAGCAGGTCCTAAGGGAGGACTGGAGGTGCCCCTGGAGGGGGTGGGCCCAGGCGCCTGGTCCTGGGCTCGAGCGGTGCCCTCCTCCCAAGGGCGTTCCGGCTCCCGAGGGCCAGCAGCTCCGGTCTGAGGTGGGGCTCCCCAAGGCCCGGCCTCCAGGCCCTCTCACCCACCGAGACGCTTGTCGCTGAGGCAGAGAGCCAGGGCTCCAGCCGAGCCTCTGAGCCCCGCCCGCGAGTGCCCGGAGGCCGGAGGCCAGGCGGGCCGCAGAGTCAGCTTGAGGTGAGAGCACCCGACCCCGGGGGGCTGCCACTCTGACCTTTGGGGGAACCTCGCTCTTCCCAGGGAAGGCCTGTGGGAGCACGCTCCCATCAGGCAGAGTCCCCCCGGCTGGACAGTGACCAGGCTGAGGGGGAGTCCCCGGGGGCACCCACAGCCCCGTGCCGGGGGCCTGGGAGAGGACACGAGTGGAGTGCAGCACCCACGTCAGGCAGGCCCATGTGTGGGGGCCACTAGAGAGGGTTCCTGCGGGAGGGGGAGCTCAGGCAGCTGAGGGCCCGGGTGGCCTGGGGGGGAGTGTGGCAAGGGGCAGCAGGAGCGGACACACTGTGGGGTCCGGGAGGGGGTGGGTAGAAGGAAGATCAGGACGCTGTCTGCAGGGGCTTCAGGGAGCCTCCAGGGCGGCAGGAAAGGCTTTCCCGGCCCGGCCGGCCACAGGGAGCAGCGAGCAAGGTCTTCTGGCAGGGACGCCGCGAGGCGGCCCAGCATGAGGGCTGGGGGAGGGTGAGCCCGCAGACCCACCGCGCCCGGCCTGTGGGGGTCACGCTTCCCCCCAGAGGAGCCCCAGGACCAGAGGCAGGACCTTGGCCGCTAACCTGGCCCAAGGAGCAGACGGCGCCACCTGGTGGCCGTGGGCCGGCCTGAACCTTTACCACCAGGCGGACCCTGCGGTCCTGAGGGACCATAAGGCTCCCCAGGCCTCCGGGTGCCTCTGGGCTGGTGACCAGGGTCCTGAGGCCCCATGACCCCCTCGGGCCAGCTCCCAGGCTTCTCCTGTGGCCCCCAGGGGTGGCCTTCAGCAGGAGTCAGATCAGGAATCCTGGCCAGCAGCACAAACTCTGTGACTGTGCCCGTCCGGCCCTGCAGTGCCCTGCCCCTGCCCTAACCCCAGTGAGGATGCCCTCAAGACAGGGCAGGGGAAAGGCATGCACACACACACACACATGTGCATGCAGGCCTCGCAAACGCACATGCATGCATGTATGCACACACAGCGTGCTGACCACTGATGCCGAAGTCTCCACCTTAAGAACCCGGCAGGCAGCTAGCTGTCTCCATTCCAGAATACATGTGGCCATACACCATGGGCAGAGGCGCCAGAGGGAGCCGGCGCCTCTGCCTGTGGTGTCCACCTGTGGCTCCAGGGACCCCAAAGGACCCGGCAGGCTCTCGGGCCAGCCCCGGGCCCAAAGGGGCCATGGGCACTCGCCTTGGGGGGCCCGTATGGAAAACGTGCAGCCTCTTGCTCAGAAGGTGGTTGGAACCTCAAGGCTGCAAAGGCGGGAGTCGCACTGAGTGCCCTCCACGCCCCCTCTCTGTGCTGTGACCACGGGGACCAGCCCCGGGGGTGACCGAGCCCTGCCCCGGAGGCAGGACACAGCACTGGGCACCTCCCCTCTCGGCGTTGAGGGGCTTGGTGTCTCTGGGAGTGGGGCTGCCCCTGCCCAGCCCGTCGTGGGGGGACTAGGCATGGGTGAGCGTAAGTGGTGTCCTCTCAGGACCACCTGGGCTCCTGTCTGTCCCTCAGCAAGCTCGGTGCCGGGCCGGGTGGGGCGGCAGCAGGAGGGGATCTGGCCCACAGGCCTGGTTACTTCTGGAGGGGGTGGCAAGAGGGGTGCCAGGCTCTTGTGGGTATAAAGGGAGCCCCAGGTTGGAGGAAGGTGCCTCTTGGAGGCCAGGGCTCCCCAGAGGAGAGGAGCCAGGAGGGGCTGGGCCGAGCGTTGCTGTGGGCCTAGGTCAAGGTGCACCCGCTGTGGCAAAGGGCCCCAGCTGGAATCCGGCTGGGAGGGGCCGGCCCGGCCAGGTGTGCTGCCTCCCCAGGCCCCAGGCAGGTGGCGGAGCCGGCCCGCCCTCCTCCCCACCCCTTGCCTAAGGGTGGCAGATAGGCAGGCCCGGGCGGGAGGGCGGGCTGCTGAGTCAGTTTGCAAGGAATGTTCGGGCACTCCCGGACACACCCCGAGCCTGCCGGCCCCGCCGCGCCCTCCCAGGTGCCTTGGCCCTGCGCCCGCAGTGCCAGGAACGCACCTTCAGCCCGAGCTTGCTCAGACCGGCTCCCGCCGGCTGCAACCCCGCTCCTCAGCCCCCTGCTCCCCCCATGACCTCATTGAGCCCTGACCCTATGGAGCTCCCTTCGCTGTGCTCTCAAGGGCCCAGGGCTGGCCCACATGTGTGAACAGCTCCTCCTGTGTGACATGCAGACGGGAGGATAAGGGGTCCCCCAGGCAACCACAGCTGGGATCAAAGGGTTCCTGCAGGAGGAGGCCCTGCGATGAGAGGGTCTGCAGGGAGGCCCAGGGGGGCCCAGCCTACGTGGCCAGGTCTGGGGGCCGGGGAGGTGGCCAGGGACCAGGCCTGTGGCAGCTAAGCTGGCGCTTTGGCCAAAGCCCAGGACCTCCCCCGGTTGGCTCCACTCATAACCATGCCCCTGGCCACCCCGGGCTGCTTCCCTGCCCAGCACACCCAGACTGGCTGCTGCTGGAAGACAGGGCGGTGGGCAGAGGCCTGAAGGCCACCCCCACAGGTGACCCGGCCGCCCTGGCCATCTCCTCCAGGCCAGCAGGGATGGGCGATGGGGCATCCCGCAGGCCCCCACAGTGCCCCGGCCCCCACGGGCACCTCGGCTGCACCCGGGCTCATTCCAGACCTCGTTGCCAGGAGTCCCTGTGCGTTGTGGGGCCCAGGAGGGTCCTGGGGCCGGCCGGGCTGGGTGGGGGCAGTGCTGCCCACAGGGGCATTTCGGGCCCATCTCTGCGCCCACCCCAGGGCCCCGATGGGCACAGGTGGCCGTCGCTGTCGCCGCCGCCATCCTCGCTGCTTCCTGCCTCCTGTGCGTCGTCTGCTGCTGCCGTCGCCGAGCCCGCAGGAGGAAGCCCCGAGACAAAGAGGCCGTGGGCCTGGGCAGTGTCCCGGGCACCACCACCACCCACCTGGTGAAGGCGGGCACCGGCGCTCCCGTGCCCGGCACCTGGCCAGCTCAGTCCCAGATCTCAGCTCAACGTCTAGGTCAGGGGCTCAGGGGCTCAGGAGGAGCTCAGGCCCCCAGCGGCAGGTGTGCCCAGCAGAGGAGGCCAGAGGGCCTTCCTGGAGGGGGGAGGCAGGGAGGGGGGGAGGCAGGAACAAAGAGAGGTGGGAGTGCCAGCCCCAGCTGGGCCTGCACCAGGGCGGCCACAGCACGTTCTGAGGAGGCAGGGGTGCCAGGGACCGGCTGGGGCAGGGCCACCGTGCTGGCTGGTCAGCTGAGCTGTGGGTGGACCCTCTGGTGGCCTGGTCCAGGGTGGGCGGTCAGGGTTCTGAAGAGGGTTCGGTCCCAGCAGCTCCGGCCACCATCCCTGCCCACTCCAGGTGCAGCCGGAGGTGGACGACGTGGGGTCCGGCCCGGGGGGAGCCCCGCAGTGGGGGCGCCTGCAGCTCTCCCTGGAGTATGACTCTGGGAGCCAGGAGGTGAGGGCCCCGGAGGCTCTGCGGGCTAGGAGGGGGGCCGGGTGCGGGGCTGACCCCGGGCCCCCGGCTGAGTCACCCTTGGCTCCCAGATCTGGGTGGGCCTCAAGCAGGCGGCGGACCTGAGGGCCGGGAGCCCGGGGGGCAGGCGGACCCCTACGCCTGCGTCAGCCTGTCCCCCCAGCCCGGGCACAGACACGCGACCCGGGTGCACCGCGGCACACTCTGCCCGGTGTTTGAGGAGACCTGCCGCTTCCGCGTGAGCCTGGCTGCCGGCGAGGGGGCGGGCGGGCGGGGCCGGGCGGGCGCGGGCGCGACTCACACCCCGCCTGCAGGTGCCGCTGGCGGAGCTGCCCCGGACCACCCTGCGGGTGCAGGTGCTGGACTTCCGGCGCGCCTCCGGGCACCAGCCGCTAGGCGAGCTCCGCCTGCCGCTGGGCACCCTGGACCTGCAGCACGTCCTGGAAGTCTGGCGCACACTGGGGCCCCCGGGCACTGTCGAGGTAAGGGTGCTGACCCCCTGCTTTGGCCCGGGCCTGCCTGGGGTGCCAGCAGCCGAGAGACCCAGGCCCCTGTCGCGCCCGCAGGCTGAGCGGACGGGGGAGCTGTGCTGCTTGCTGCAGTACGCGCCCGGCTGGGGCCGGCTGACAGTGGTCGTGCTGGAGGCCCGGGGCCTGAGCCTGGGGCTGGCAGGTGAGAGCCCCCTCCGCATCCCCTGGGGGGGGCACAGGGCTCGGAGGTCAGGCCCGCGCCCCCCGCGCCCCCCTCCGCCCGCCCAGAGCCGTACGTGAAGGTCCAGCTCCTGCTGAACCGGAGGAAGTGGAAGACGAGAAGGACGTCCGTCTGGAAGGGCACGGCCGCCCCCTACTTCAACGAGGCCTTCACCTTTCTCGTGCCGCTGAGCCAGATCCAGGTGGGCTGCCTGGAGGAGGGGGCCCGTCCTCCCGGGGGCCATGCTGACCGCCTGTCTCCTCTGCTCAGAGCGTGGACCTGGTGCTGGCCGTCTGGGCCCAGGGCTCGCGGCTCTGGGCTGAGCCGGTGGGCAAGGTGGCGCTGGGAGCCCGGGCCTCGGGCCAGCCGCTGCAGCACCGGGCCGACATACTGGCCCACGCCCGGCGGCCCGGCGCCCGGTGGCACCGCCTGCGGCCCGCCGGGGAGGTGGACCAGGCCCTGGGCCTGAGGCCCCGCCGGCGCCTGCCCCTGCCCGGCTCCTGACAGCACCCTGAGCCTCCATGTCCCGCCCTGAGCTGTGGGCCCGTCCCGGCCACGGGGGGGCTGCAATAAACGTCGCTTCCACCACCTCCTGTGTCTTCCTGTGCCCGGGGCAACGTGGGGGGCACCTCCGAGGGCGAGAAGGAGAAGGCCCCCTCCAGACTCACCCAGCCCTGCGGCCTCCGGGGGCGATGAGGGGCCCCTCTACCCCAACGAGCACAACACCGGAGCGGGGAGCCCTCCTGCCTGGGGTTCAGCGTGAGGGACAGTGTGTGTGAGGCAGGAGGGCTGGAGGGGGCCACGGGGTGTGGTGGGCAGGAGGGGGCCTTTGAGGGCGCTGCGGGAAGGAAGGGACCCACCCCCGGGGCCCGGCCGGCTCCTCTCGCCCCTGAACCTCGGGGCGGCGGCTGCAGGGCTGCCCCAGGCGCGCGAGCAGCAGGGGGCAGTAGAAGCCTTCGGAAGCCTCGCAGGGTCTCTGGGGGCCCAGCCTGGCGGGAAAGAATGCAGCTCTAATCCCCCACATCTGGGACTTCGGCTCTGCCTGACCCTCCCCACGCCCCGAGCGGGGCCGCTCCCCCGGCTCAGAGGCAGCCAAGTCCGGGGCCTCCGGATGCCTGAGCTGGGTGGGGGCTGCCTGGGCCCCAGCCCGGAGGGGAGAGCGTTCCAGGCGGGGGCCCCCCGCCCCTCTGGCAGGGAGTGTTCGAGCTGTGGGAGCACAGCCCTGGGTGGGGCGCCCCTGCTTGGCTGCACGTCCAGGGCGACCCCGTGCCTGCTGCGGGCGGGAAGCCGGGTTCACGTCCCCGCCCGAGACCCCAGGAGCTGCTGCAGGCCCAGAGGCCCGTTTGGGGTCCGGGCCCGGCTTCGGAGCTGGGCTGGGGGAAGGGGGGCCTGGCCAGCGTGTGGCAGCCATGCCCTGGGCTGGAAGGGGAGCAGTGAGCTGCTGAGGAGGTGGCGGTGGGGGGGAGGGGACAGGGGACACTGTGCTGTGGACCCCCACGTAGGACGGGGGCCTGAGTCCCAGAGCCCCTCGGCTGACCCTGAGCCGTGATTCCCCCCTCCCCCCAGGCCTCACGCAGCTGCCCGCATGCTCCTTGCAAGAACAGGAGCTTCTCGGACTCGTCACTGATCCCTAAATAGAGCAACCCAACCTCGGCACCCCCCCCCAAGACTTCTTGGACTGGAGGGCAGCATGTGGCTGAGCCGGCCAGGCGGCCGGGCCGGTGGGGAGGGCCCTGCGCCCCCATTGGTCTGAGGAGGGCTCCATGTCCTTTCTGAGCGGGGGCCCAGCCTGGGGAGGACATTTATACCCCTCCCGTGCCCACCCGCCAGGCGACACCGCCAGCCGACCTGCTCCCCGCTCGCGCAGCCGAACGCTAGGTGAGGCCACGGGCGGCTCGGCCCGGCGGGCACAGGCACCCACACAGCCCGGCCGGCCTTCGGGATGCCCCTGGGTGGGGGGCCGGCCACCAGGGACCCCGCCGGCAGCCCTCTGCGGGGGGCTTGCTCGGGTCTGGGGGTGCGATGGAGACGCAGGGGGAGGTGGGCCTGGGCGGGAGGGGCAGGGGGCCTGGACAGGCCTCGAGGACTAGGCCTCGGTGTCAGGACGCGGTGGGAAGGGGTCTCTGTGCGTCAGGGGACCCCAGGCTGAACGGGGGAGCAGCCTCCCGCAGGCAGGCACTTGGGCCCAACGCCGAAGGAGCGGAGCTAAAATTAGCAGGAGCACCTGCCCGGTGCCCGCCCCGCCCCGCCCGCGGGGACAGCTGCCCGCCCGCCTGCCCGCCAGGGACTTTCTGGGACACTTTCTCCTCGCTCTGCTCCCAGGGAATTCCAAGATGATCTCTCCCCCCTGCCCCCCACCCCCAGGAGGCTGGAGTTGGGGGCGGGGCAGCAGGGGGCCCGGTGAAGGTGAGGTGCTGTCCCCCACAGTCCGAGGCCCTGACACCCCATCTTTCTCTCCCACAGGCTCTAAGCCCAGGACTTCAAGATGGGGGAGTAAGTGAAGTCCCCGACCCCAATGCCCCTGCCGCTCCCTCCTTCCACCCCCAGGCGGGGCCTCTGCCCGCCCGGCCATGCTGTTTTGTCCCCTGCCCCCCTACCCCCACCCCATCACAGACCCTAACCTCTCTCTTCTCTCCCCCCTCCCCACCCCCCCTCCACCCTCCTGGGACAGTGACGAGGTGAGTATCTCTTGAGGGTGAAATGCAGAGGGAATGGGAGCCCCCCCGCCCCCCCCGCCCCAACTGAGATAGGTCAGAGGTCAGAATTTCAAGGTCCAGGAAGAAGGCCCCCACCCGCACCCCCGTCCCCGCAGACAGCGACACACACAGGAAGTGGCAGCTGTTGCCTCACGGGAAGGGGAAATGGGCCTGCGGCCTGGTCACCCTGGAAATGGCTGCTTTTCTCGAATCACGACACCCCACGCTCGGCCCTGCAGGCCCCACCCCGAGGCCCAGCCTGGTCTCCACACCCCGACGGGCCACCCCCAGGCCCAGCTGTCCCCCGAGCAGGACCCCGGCCGGGTGGAGCGTGGGGAGGGATGAGGGTGGATGTGGAGAGCCCGGCCCTGACTCTGCTCCCTCTCCCCCGCCTTGCAGAAGCGAAACCGGGCCATGACGGCCCGCAGACAACACCTCAAGGTAGGTGCCCCCCCCCCGGGGAGGCCGCAGGGGGGTCCGCACCAGCCGGGCAGCCCCTCACTGCCCCCCCGCCCCTCCCCAGAGCGTGATGCTCCAGATCGCGGCCACGGAGCTGGAGAAGGAGGAGAGCCGCAAGGAGTCGGAGAAGCAGAACTACCTGTCGGAGCACTGCCCCCCGCTGCACCTCCCCGGCTCCACTGCCGAGCTGCAGGTACCCCAGCCCGCCCACCTCGGTTTCCCCAGGGTCCCACGTGGGGACGGCCACTCACTGCCCCCGCCGCCCGCAGGAGCTCTGCAAGCAGCTGCACGCCAAGGTGGACGCGGCCGAGGAGGAGAAGTACGACATGGAGGTGAAGGTGCAGAAGAGCAGCAAGGAGGTGAGCAGGCCGGGGCGCAGGCGCGGGCGCGGGCGCGGGGAGAGGGGCGAGGGCGAGGGCGAGGGGCACGGAGCGATGGGTGGCAGGCACAGCGCGGCCTGGCCCTGCGGCTCCCGCCCAGCCCCCCGCTCCCCCCGCAGCTGGAGGACATGAACCAGAAGCTGTTCGACCTCCGCGGCAAGTTCAAGCGGCCGCCGCTGAGGAGGGTGCGCATGTCGGCCGACGCCATGCTGAAGGCGCTGCTGGGCTCGAAGCACAAGGTGTGCATGGACCTGAGGGCCAACCTGAAGCAGGTCAAGAAGGAGGACACCGAGAAGGTAGGCGCCCCCGTCCCCCGTCCCCCGCCCCGTCCCTGCCCCGAGCCCCTTCCCTGCGGGGGAACGAGGCTGAGCCTCCTCCGCCCACCCCCAGGAGCGGGACCTGCGGGATGTGGGCGACTGGAGGAAGAACATCGAGGAGAAGTCCGGCATGGAGGGCCGCAAGAAGATGTTCGAGTCAGAGTCCTAGGCCGCCCCCGGACCCCCCACCCCCGGCCTCGCGCTGGCGGGCACCCCGGCTCCGGGCAGGGTGGCAGGGGGTGGGCCCCGGGAGCCGCCTGGAGTGCGGGCTCACCGCAGCTGTCAATAAAGGTCTCCAACCCTGTGACTGGTCTCTGCGGCCTCGTTGAGACCTCATCGCCCACCGGCCGCCCATGCCTCTGGGTGCTGCACCCCGGGAAGGCCCACTGGCTGGCCGGGAGCCAGTGCCCTCGACCAGGTGCTAGGGGAACGGGGGCGAGGGCACGAGGGAGCCATGCAGGGGCCTCAGGAATGTCGGGAAGGCCCTGAGAGCTGACTCCGTTGGCTGGCTGCACCCAGGGCTGGGGCTGTTGTGCTCACAGCCAGTCCCCAGGGCTCCCGCTGGCTCTGGGCGACTTGGTGGCTGATATGTCCCAGCCCTTGGTGGCTGATACGTCTGAGCAGTTCTCACAGGAGACCCTCGGCCAGTGTGCACGGCCATCACAGGGGTTCAGCTGCCCAGAGACCGTCTGAATCCGTCACCCCAAGTCTAGGCCGGGCCCTGTGGGCCACTCCCCATTCCTCCTGAGACCCCACAGCCTCCCCCGGGGGATGCCGTGCTGCAGCCCTGGGTCCGACGGCCCCCCAGATGGTTTATGCCAGGGGGTTCAGGCTCAGAGGGGCCGGGGTCCCAGCTCCCCACAAAGACAGGCCAAGCCAAGCCGGCCCCACGCGGGCCCAGCAGGCAGGCTGGGGCCCCTCTCTGCTCAGCCCCAGGTCCTGGCCCACCTCACACATCAAGGGGCCGTGTCCCTGAGGGCCGGATGAGGGCTGTCATGGCAAGGCCAAGGCTGTCAGCCTCCCGTGATGGATGGGGCGACAGCCCGCCCGCCAAGGTCCCTGCGCTCAGATCTCCGAGTGAGCCGGGGGGCCCCTCGGCCCATGATGGAGGGGCTGTCGGCAGCCCCTGCCCCCCGGAGGTCCTGGCGATTGATCTGCCGGGGCCGGAGATGGGGAGGGCGGCAGCCTTCAGCCTTGGCTGCCTCGTGGGATGGGGGCTGACGTCAGTGGCGCCCTGGCCTTCACCCGTCGTCCTCCCGCCTGCGCTGGGCGGCCTGGGCCCCGCCGTGTCCTCTGAGCGGCTCCCACGGGCCCTGCCACGGGTGACCTGCGGCTTCGGCCGGTTTATCATCCTGGGGCCCGCTGACTGGACAGCGACTCCAGCTACCGCAGGGGAAGGCCAGGCCTCGGCAGACAGCCCTCCCCCTCCCCAGGGCTGGGAAGCACGGTGACCGCAGCTTTCAGGCCTGGGAACCCAGGGAGATGCGTCCCCCAGGCCTCCGTCCCAGCACCATCTCCTCCTCAGAAAGGGCCTGGCTCCCAGACGGCTGGGAGCCGGACGGGGGCAGAAGTGCCCGGCCCGAGTGTCCTGGAGGCACCGAGTGGGCCACACGGCGAAAGTCAATCAAATAACTCGGATCCCACCGGCGGAGTCAGGGGCTGAGCATTGACTAGGAACTAGGAGGTCAGGGTTCGATTCCCAGGAGGTCAGGGCACAGGCCTGGGTTGAGGGCTCCCT